AAAGTTCAACAGTTAAAATTTATAATACTGCATATATACCTTTTCTCCACCTACTTTTATAAAAATTCTACGATTTTAAGCTTTAAATTGTTTAAATATTGAACTATAATGCACACATGTAAGTCGGACAAAACATTTATCTTTTATCTTCATGATGCTTTATAGCTTTGTATCAAATTTGAATTCCCCTCAAATCTGAAAAAGGGTAGTTTCCCCTAAAACCTAGATTGATCCCTGAAAGAATAATGATAGCTCATGTACAGAAAAACCAGCTTTTATTGAATATAAATACACGTCGAGTATATATCAGTCTCTCGATTATATTGTACAATGAAAAGGCAAATCAAATCATATTCGATCATAAATGGTCCATAGGAAGTGTTGTTTGTTTTAAGTTAAGTATCACACCACATTTGTAACATTTGGTTTAAGTTTTATTTCCTTATTAAAACTGTGGTTATTTAAGGACGTGTCTCCATGTGTGTAATGTATGCGCTCTTGTGTGTATGTGTGCTGGAGGCGGGATGTTGATGTATTGTAAAGTAAGACATGGGACAGGAAGGTCTTTCAATCAATACAAATGGCAGGGCTAAGCAACAGGAAGGCGGAACATATTTTTTAAGTTATTTGTTAATGTTTCAATGGAAATCCATGGCGATGCAATACTTAGTCAAATAACAGCGGAATAAATACCAAATGATGTGTTAGTTATTTGCAAATATTTATTTTTTGCCAATAAAGTACATGTTTAAGCATGTTTATCATACACATGTTTTAATGCAATTATCTTTCTTCCAATAAACTAATATGCATTGATAATCGACGAAATATATCAGCACTCCACTGTAAAACAGAAGTGATTTATCAAGCGAAACCAGCTTATTTGACGTTATCGACCATGCCATACTTTATAAACGTCTGGAGTACTTTTAAGGAGTGACTGATACCGCACTATGCTGGATATAGTCTTATCCGAGTGAACGACGACAGTATGTTGCTATCGGATCTACCACCTCACATGACGAAGTACTAGATTTCAGGGTTCCTCAAGGGTCGGTGTTAGGACCACGAAAATACTGCGTGTACTCCAAATTTGTCGTCGCCTTAGCCTTCGCTATCATCGTTGATGACACAAATTTACAAGGTCATCAAACCACAGGACAGTTGGGATACAAGTTGATAGAGATCAGTACCTGGATGAACGCCAACATGCTAAAGCTTAATCAGGAAAAGACAGAACTAATCGGGTTTTTTCCCAAAGTGTCGGCAAACAATGGCTCCCCAGCTCAAGGTCGGTGCCAGAAATATTGAGACTGTCCCAGCTGTTAAAAACCAAGGGGTATACTTTGATAGTTTACTGAACACGGAGAAACAAGTAAACGCTATTGCCAAATCCTGTTACTACCAGATCAGGAACATCGGCTGTATCCGGCAGTTTATAACTGCCGATGCATGCACGATTTTGGTGCATTCACTTATACCCTCTCTGTTGGATTATGGTAACGCCCTGCTCTGTGGTATATCTGACAAACTAACGAGTCGTCTGCAGAGGGTCCAGAAAACTGCAGCACGGCTGGTTACTCGTACTCGAAAGAGAGAGCACATCACACCCGTGCTATATTCATTGCACTGGTAACCTGTACGATACAGGTCGCGGTACAATTTTTGTGTGTACTCATACAAGGCACTGAATAGAACAGCTCCCCAGTACCTACAATAGCTTGTTACCCTGTATCAGCTGTTACGATCACTGCGGTCGGAGTCATAATCATTGTTGTGTGTCCCAAAATCTCGTACTGTGACCTATGGAAACCGGTGCTTTGGGAGGGTTTCGGCCACGTTGTGGAATAGCTTACCATCTGCTATAAGAAAGCAAAATACCCTGGCCAAATTCAATAGGGACATCAAAACTCACCTCTTCACGTCTGCATTTTAGGCTTTTTGCAAAGACGTCATGTAAATACCAGCCTTTATTTATTCATTTGTGTGCACATTGCGATGATGATCGATCTGCTTTCTAAATTTTACAAACTATATAGGGCACTTTATAAATGTTGTATAATATTACTTATCATTAATCATTAAAGCTAGGAGACTCGGTCAAGGAGTGTGATTTTATATGACACAAAGGATCCATTGGTATAGTTATTGTATAGGTAGACAGCATTTAGCAAGAAAGATATACTGTGGCATCACTATCAGCAATTAACCAGCATTCACTCTATATTGATACAGTTGTGTGACGGCACAACGCACCAAAAATAGCGTGCGCACACCGTGCATACATCGTTCACACACCGTCCGCACATGGTGCTCACAACTGTGCGATTTAACAATCGTTCGCCGCGTTGTGCGCTTCTCTCCGCACAACTGTGCGATTGGCTACAATTTGTAAATCAATATTAGGGGATGAAAAAAATACGGAAAGCTCGTATGCAATATTGAAAACTGTGTGTATTGCTGTAATTTCTCAGCACAGTTATGAAGATCAACAGTTTTACACATCATTACAATGACCGTTGAATGGGTTTGGCTCCTAGAACAGGTAAATAACAATTTTATGAATGACGGGAGTTTTACCTGGCCTGTACCCGATACATAGAGCTGATATGCAATACCGTATGACCGTAATGAAAACACAACTGGACGTTTAGTATTTGTTATTTGCATTCAGTTGTCTATAGCTCCCTTTCGTCTGGGTTTTCACACCCCTTGCCCTACTCGACGAAATACGTTAGCGCCCCGAACGGGGGGAAACTACGGTCCAGGTACATGGACTATGTTTAGTGGCTATGTTTACCTGTATACGGGACTGTGCTGTAATTTCACATGTGTCGATTAAGGTCGTTTAAAAAATACCGAAAACACAATTTCTAATTTTAAGAAAGTGTAGACATAGCGATAAGCTTATAGATGTAGGTAGAATATGAAAACACACGTAAAAATCAAGTTTATATGTTTAAACACGAACCCGTATATATTGTTAAGGCATTCCTCAATTTTCACCAACCACGATTGTTATCGCACAACGTTCGTCAATCGTGCACAAAAATGTGCGCAAGCAATGATCATCCGCACATCGTGCACACATCGTTCATACACCGTGCACACATCGTGCGTACACCGCATATTGTGTAACGTTGTGCGATTCCACAACTGTATTTTGAAATTAGTGTGTCCTGTCGTTAAGCTATATTAATACTTTGAAATTAGTATGTCCTGTCATTAAAGTTATATTGATACTTAAAAATAAGTGTGTCCTATCGTTAAGCTACCATGTGACATTACATAAGTTGTTCCTAAATTGACATGCTGGTTGTGACCAGAACTAGTATACGCTAACCCTTCGTAAACATATTGTCTTATTTTCTAAGTAAGATTTCAAATGTAAAAATGTTCATGTTTATATATGCCAAAGAATCATTGTTAGAACTGCAGTTTTATTTGTTTTGAGTTATTTCTTTGTTTCAGTTTCAACAATAAGTACCAAACTCATGCAAGCAGATTTGCGTCTATTGTTACTTTTAGTTTTACTTTTCCCAACAGGAACATCTGAACTTAACGGTAAATCGACTTATCAAAGCCAAACTATAAGCTTGCGAAGTAAAGGAAGAAGGAGATTTGCGAATAACAAATATGCTGAAAATAAAACATTTTTGTTCGATTGTCATACATTTCAACACTTCAATGCAAATCATGCAATGTTTCCGTACCATATAACATATAGCTAATCCAAAGTATTTCAGGAGAAATATGTCCAAAATGATGTATATCTAAACTAGAATATGAATAAGGGTATATGGTAACCCTAAATGTCTTGATTGTATAAATATTTACAACTAGACGAACATGACATTGCACAATTGAACACGCACAAATCTTGCGTGACAATGGTTAATTATTCATTTGCCTTCATGGCTTCCTTAATGTTGTACATGATTTGTTTGTTTGTTTGTTTGATTTTGTTTAACGTCCTATTAACAGCTAAGGTCATTTAAGGACGGCCTCCCCTGTGTGCAAGATGCATGCGTGTAGTGTATGTGTGTGTATTTTGGGAGGCTGCGATATGTTCGTGTTTGTCTCCTTTGTTGTACATGACAAAGTGTAGGAAGCTTTTCTGTCGTGTAGATCGGTTGGTCAGAGACCTGAATCCCGTTTTGTATAAATTAGTGTTTACCAAGAAGAGTTGTGCTCTTGATAACAACAGTTGTCAACAATTATATGCTGTGTTCAGTTGAGTACGGACAACTAATCTGTCGCTATATTTCCGACTTTCTACCAGTGCAGAGTTGTTTCTATGAGTCGGATTATGGAGATGGAGAGTCAGTTCAACATCATATTTATTTAACATCAGGAAAATTTGGGAAAAGTCTTCCTCAAGTGTATCTTTCCGTGTTCTCGAATTTATGAGTATGTCTGTGTTCGTACATGTTTCCAAATGTCAGTGAGTACCTGCGTGTTGGATATGACAGACAAACAAATACATCAAACGGTTTTCCGCTATTAAAAACTATGAATAAATCTTCCTTTTTTAATTGTTCATCCTATTTGCTTATAAATAGTAAAAACACCTTTGTTGCAACATAAAGCAGGAGGATTTTGAAAAACACCATTAGATGTGTTTAAGGCAGCATCACCTGTATCAGATACACTAACTACAGGTGAGACTGATTATTATATATAAATCACTGTCTGTATCTTATCAGCATTCCTCAAATTTTTGAAATTCAAACAATTTTGGGCTTTTATTTACTGCCATCTTGTTTCAAAATTAGTTTAGACCAATTTGCGTTTCATTTTTTTCAACACAACATCACCGATGAGGCCTAGACGGATGAAGTAGTTGTATGTTACAGTGCAATTTATTTGTTGGCCGTCTCTATGCATTTCCAAACTCCAAAGGCACAATCGTATGTGTGCGTCACAGATTAAATCTTCCTTTTTAAAAATTACATTTCCTTATAAATAGTGAAAACAACCTTTGTTGCAGAATAAAGCAGGAAGACTTTAAGAGACTTCATTAGATGTGTTTTACGAAGCATCACCTTACCAGAAAAACGCTTATACACTAACTACAGGTAAGACTGATTATAATATATTACAAATTGTCTGTATCTTACAGGCATTGCTGTAAATTTTTAAATTCCAATAATTTTTATTCACTGCCATTATGTTTCAACTTTTTAAAATTCTAGCATCACCAATGAGTGAAGAAGGATGGAGCAGCTGCATATTTAGTGTTATTTATTTTTGGCTTTGTGTATGTATTACCAACATCCAAAGGCACAATCACAAGTGTGCGTCTAACGTTCATCTACCTAGATGGCATATACTGGTAGATATCCTAGTCCCCGAGGTTCTGCCGTGCTACCTTGGTAGTTTAGTTATCTTTTTTGAGAAATGACACGGTTCATATATTCGAAATTTTCATATATGGGATTAAACGCACACTTGGTTTTTCAACATCTGGAATGATGAAACATGTTCGGGATACATTATATCTACTCAATGGCGGCTTCGTTCTGGAACATTCGACCAGAGCAGTCTGTCAGTGCTGGGACATAACGACTATTATCAATGAACAAAAGTGTTTAAACGGGTACTGAAACTAATTAAAATTTCAAAAGCTATCAAAAGCAGAGTAATAGTGTTGTTAAGTGTATTTTCTAAATTCATTCATTTCGATGTTCATTCACTGGAACTGTGTTATCATAGCAACCAAGGCTTCCGTAGTTACCATCATAACAACCTTCGATTGTTTTCCTTCGTACATCATTTACAAGTTTTACTAGTTTTGTTTTTTGTGTTTGTTTTGTACAATATAACGAATGACGTTCAGTTTGACGGCGAATACGTTAGTGTGAACGCAGTAGGCAACGACCATTTTCTTGATGAGCACTAACACGCAACATAGAACATTTTCTTTACCAACTGCGTTCATACTACCGTATACGCTGTCAAAATAAAGGTCAATCCTAATACAATTTGTACAATCACTTTTCAAGATCTGTCAATTTTGAATGTGCTGTAAAATTTCTATATTTCAAGGATGTTATACTATTGTATATCAGTTCAGAACAAGGAAGTTTAGAAATTTTGAAAGTTTATTGAAACTCCTTACGGGTATATAAGCCACCGTATGTAAAAGAAAAGTGCACCTTTTCTTTCAAGGCAAGATCGACGGTAAGTATCTTAAAAAGTTGTACGTTGCCGTCACAAAATGTCATTACGATACATGTTTGGTTACACCAATCTGTGGTTTAACACCTGGTAGTTCATGAGACAAAAATATCTTGTATTTTTGTTTAAGTATCCCATTGACGTCTGTTTTGTGATCATTTATAGTCGATAGTAGTTATTGCAGTTATAAGAAATAGTTACATTATTTTTGCAAAATATATCTCTTTTTAACTTTTCAGTAGAGTATATGTTTTAATCGACGTACATGTAATGCTATTTGCAAAATTGCATCTTAAGTTCTTTGAACTTTTGACCGACATGTGGAAAAATATACAGTAACACAAAATATAGTATAAATCAAGTTTATAAAAAATAACAAGTATTGAATGTTGAAAACTTACGTTAAACTTTAATCATTTGAACGTTGTTTGTAACAAACCCGTCAAATATCAAGTCACTTCTCATAACAACATAATTTGTTAGTCATACTTTTAAGAGTCGATAGAGCACTGACAGTTGTTAAAACAAAAAGAAGAGAATTCAGGAGTAGAATTTCTTATGTTGTACATCTTATCGCGTGCTCATGTTAAAATATGTGAGTGTTTGTTTGTGTTTGATGTAATAAACATACGATCACAGACGTTCTTAGAGTCGTCTTAATATATATCATCTTAAAATTTATTTTATGATCTCGTAACAAACAACAAAAACCGATCTCGCGCTACTACATTAAATATTTATACATTAAATAAACCTTCCTTGTTGGTTCGTTGGGTATAAATAGTGAACATGCTCTCTGTTGCAGCATAAAGCAGGAAGATTTTGAGAGACTTCATTAGATGCTTTTTTACAAAGCATCACATGTACTAGACTAAGGCGGGCGTATATTCAAACCATAAGGTAAGACTTAATAATCATATAATAGCCACGGTCTACATCGTGCCTATCCTTATTTTCGCTTTTCTGAAATTATTATAGTTATGGGATTTTACACATCTTCACCAATTTGGATTTCTCCTTGGCACTTTGCGTCAACGTTGAGACATAGAAGGACAAAATCAATTGTATGGTGCAGTGTACTTCGTGTTTGGCAAACTGTGTCGGCTACAAAATGTTAAAGGTGAAATAATATGTGAGAGTCCTTCGTTCAACTTTCATTTTAATCGAATACATTTGTTTATACTTACACAATGTTTTGGTTTGTGTTCGTTGGTAAAGTTATTTTCCCAACTGCCACCCCCTTACCCCCTACACACTCACATACACATATACAGCCTATAGATATTATGTTTTATGTCTGTCTCAAAAATCAATATTCTGAGTTAAGTTTAAACAAGGGTACATGCATTCATTTAATTGTCAACACCTGTCTTTTCAAGTATGTATGATAAAATCTATATATTTGTAAGTTGTTTAACTATTATATACCAAATCAGAACAAGGTCGTGTTTAAAGATTTTAAGTGAATGGGAATCCCTGATGGGTATATAGAACTCCATGTTGAAATCAAAACAGGATTGTCGACTGTTATTATATATGAAAGTCTACGTTCCCTTGACAAAGTATCACCTCTTTATATGCGTGGTAAAACCTATATCTTGTTTCATTTCTGGTTGTTTTTGGGATCGTGGTATTCTTTTTTGTCATCTTAGATTCGTCTGCTGTTTCCGTGTGAACTGTATATACGTTATTGCAGTTCTAAATTCCGTAAATTTTACTGAAACGAGGAAATCAATTGCATACAAATTAAAATGCCACGGTCTAAACGTTTGAGTGTCCAATTCTCACTGATATCATTATGATGTCAGTTTTCAAACACATACGCTTAGAATAAAAATGTCTATATCTGCATTTAAAGGTATGAATTTCTCAATAACTTATAAAACGGAACTTATATATCCATCTTGTACAATCCTATGAAATCATAATGACCACCTGTTATGAATGTAATACCATATCGTAAACCAAAACGATAAAATATAAATCCTTATTATTTCACAATGACATTATGTAAAGGAATACTCAATATTCCAAAAGGAAACTGTTTCTATTATATTTCTCTTTTAGTGTTTACTTGACCATGAATTCCTGGTTGGGAAAGTTGTTGACGTCAATATTCATTCTACCGTTCGCAGCTGCAAATTACCGAAGACGACAGAATGGATCCTGGTATTATGATTGTACTATTTCGTCCCGTGTTCTGTTCCTGCTTGTTCTTTCAATAGTGATAGTATTTTCCGCCACCAAATGGATACCAACACATATGGATCTTCGATTGGGATTTGTCGTAATTCTTCTGTCTTTACTTATGGTCTCTGGGCTGATTGGGATCTATATCATGGGATGCCTGGTTCGGAAACGAGGCATCCTGTCCGTTGTTGCTGCAAGACGAAACTCAAATACACCAAAACTTCAAGTGATATTCCTGTGGGTTTTCGGTCTGGCATCGGGATTGAATAGTGCTTTATTTGTCGGCAAGCAGATCGAATGTTCAGTTTATACTTCTGGAAGATTCTATTGGAATGCATTACTTTGTTTCAATATCTTATTGATCTTTTGCCTTTTTTCACAACTAATTTTCATCACTTACTTTTCATCATTCAAACTGAAACAGACTATTTTGGTGAATTGCGTTATGCTATTGCTGTTAACCGCTAATATATCTGTGATTTTGTACATCTATCTGATGGGCGATACAATTTCGTATTTAATAAACATTGACTATGAAGCGAGTTTAAGTTCCTGCTTAAAAGACAATACTACAATGACGTTTCTTAGGTTTAAATTACGGAAATTTTTAGAACCAACATTTGTGGAGCATGGTCTTCTTTCAGCTGCCATTATTCTTGAGATATGGTCACCCACAGAAATTCATTATTCTGATATAGGATCACCGTACACGGAGAGAGGAACCACGGAGTCGACATCTCTGCCTTATGATCTCACATCAGTTGAGCATCCGATTTCCGGAAATCAAGGCAAAATGAAGGTGTACCATATGATAACACTGGCTGTGAGTTTAACAACAAGTATCGGTCTTGTTGTGTGTTACGTCACGATGGCGTTAGATAAAGGAAATATAGAGAGTATTAGTTACATTGCTGTAACATATGAATTTTCGTTAAAACTTGTCATGATGATTGCGATCTTTGCTGGATTCTTTATTTTGGTAAATTACTGTACTCCTGACAGTTCAGCGAAAGGTTTGAAATCTCGGGAGTATGTGTATTTGCTATCGGCGTTTGGTATGATCATGATGCATATGTTTGAAGGGATAGTAGGTGATGTGTCTTCCGATCATTCAGCAAATATGTATATGTCTACAAGCATCCTTAGCGTTTTCCAAGACTATGTCCAGGTCGTGTTTTTGATGTATGCAAATCGTTGTAAAAAATCTGACCTTCATTTAAATGTCGCTTTTCTTGAATCAATTCTTTTATTTATCATGATAAGCAACTTCATCCTCTGGTTTAACGATAGTTTTCTCCTTTATGAATTTTCCAGTACACGGACACTAACAAATACCATAGTAACAAAGGAAATATTTCATTTGATGTATCAAGTTTTACTTCCCGTGTCAATGTACTTTCGATTCACTTCTTTTATGGAATACTACGCAACATTTGGTAAATATACATCATAAACAAATATTTTTAGAAAGCTTGCGTGAAAAGAAATTATGAAATTGAAATGAACGATTATGGCTTGATGGTATGTTATAAATATATTCTTGATCTTAAGTCCAAATGGTTTTCAGGTATTCACCATTTTTTTTAAATTGGCTTAAATATATGGTAATTAATACATGTAACTAATACATGATTTGATTTTGTTTAACGTCCTATTAACAGCTAAGGTCATTTAAGGACGGCCTCCCCTGTGTGCAAGATGCATACGTGTAGTGTATGTGTGTGTATTTTGGGAGGCTGCGATATGTTCGTGTTTGTCTCCTTGTGATAGCGCGGAACTGATGCCGACACTATAGTGCTACCTCACTGAAAACATACTGCCGAAGACACCCAGCAGGACGCCCCGCCCCATCCGGTCACGTTATACTGACAACGGGCGAACCAGTCGTCCCACTCCTAATTTGCTGAGCGGTAAGCAGGAGTATAAACTACCATTTTTAAAGACTTCGGTATGTCTCGGCCAGGGGACAGAACCCAAAGCCTTCCTCACAGGGGCGAACGCTCAACAAATGGCCAAAAGCGAGGCATTGTAAAGGGAGACATTAGGAAGAAAAAAGTTATTTAGAAAGGAGAGAAGAGATAAGGTCCCAAATTTAGTCGCCTCTTACGATCATGCAGTTGGGGGCAGCAGGTACAACTCTTACACCCTACCTGCAGGGGCTATTCCCGTGGGAACAAACTGGTATTATATCAGACAGGCGAACCCCTCCCCAAGTACTTCACAGCATGAACCCCAATGTGAGTACTTCACAGCAGGAACCCCAATGTGCAAGTACATGTATTATAGCAAAAAACACCTCTTATTTCAAATGCAGATAACTCGACGATTGTTTTTAATCATTATAATCCATTGACCACATCGATTAACGTATAGTGCTTTAAATAAAGAAAACACATACTCATCTGCCGCTTTTCTCGATTATTTCTTATAACACGACCAATAGTTCTGGGCGGCTTACTACTCAGCTGTTCGATAAGCGATTTTTCTAAAGACCTCATTGTGATGCTTACAACTAAATTGCTATTAGCTTATTTTTAGGGAAATGTTTAATTTTAATGAGCGCTCTCCCCCGCTCGTTTGCTGAATACAAAATAAACATATTAATGTCATCAAAGTTACATGTAGTAAAGTAGTAAATCTGTTTGTGTATCTTTAAGTGATCATAATAATTCTCTTTTGTAAGCATGCCTTCACAACTTCAGTGTGCAGGAAAATGCAATATTGGAAATTTGATTTTTTTGTTTGTTTGATTTTGTTTAACGTCCTATTAACAGCTAAGGTCATTTAAGGACGGCCTCCCCCTGGGTGCAAGATGCATGCGTGTAGTGTATGTGTGTGTATTTTGGGAGGCTGCGATATGTTCGTGTTTGTCTCCTTGTGATAGCGCGAAACTGATGCCGACTTTATAGTGCTACCTCACTGAAACANAAGACTTTGGTATGTCTCGGCCAGGGGACAGAACCCAAAGCCTTCCTCACAGGGGCGAACGCTCAACAAATGGCCAAAAGTGAGGCATTGTCAAGGGAGACATTAGGAAGAAGAAAGTTATTTAGAAAGGAGAGAAGAGATAAGGTCCCAAATTTAGTCGCCTCTTACGATCATGCAATTGGGGGCAGCAGGTACAATTCTTACGCCCTACCTGCAGGGTTAAAACATAATAATAAATTCGATGCATTAAGTCAAATAATACGAACCACTATGACAATATATATTGTACAGTGGTAGGGGTAGATATTCATGGAATAACAATGTGTCATGTCAATGGAATGAAAGTTGCAATGTCGATGAAATATCAGTACACATGCCTTTATAGTTAATTTATTTGAAAAATAAAAATATTTTAGCTTCTTCATGAGTTGTTTATATAACGTTAGTGCAGGCGAATTCGTCACATTAGTAAGGGTTTCGGTTAATTATTCGTCCAAAAACGCATGTATCATAATGCCGGCGAGCACCAGTACAGAGGAAGATTTGACTGAAATGCCTATGAATAATTTTGTTGTAAACACGCCTGAATGACGTCACGCAGCAACATTTGTGACGTCAGCATGCCTTCCGTGGTTTTGCCCAAAGGTGCAGGCAGTTTCGCCACCTTCAAACATTTGCAAGTAATGCAAGTGTTTAAACGTAATATTTTGTATGTTTATGTTTCACAAGGGTATTTTCAATTCAGTTGTATGTAATGCATTTACACTAAATAACAACCAACTTGTCTCAGATTAATGAGTTTAAATAGATGTCCGTCGCACAGATGAATTTTTTAAGATTCGTTGTGTTACATGATATTTTATAACTGTTTTGATTAATAATATAACTTTCCTTATTATTCATCTTGTCAAAATATTTGAAGGCTTTTACTGTGTTTAAGACTATGGTGACGTTATTTACGTCATATATTATGTATTATGACGTCATAGGGCATATTCGTCACATCGTGGCGAATTTCGATGCACTAACGTTATATAATATATATATATAAATCGCGTGTTATAAGAAAGCAAACAGCTGCCTAGGCATCTAGGCCTGCTTTCATGGAAATGGTCTCATTATATGGAGTAAATCATGTGTTCAATTTGTGTTCGTACAGTCGATTATCATACGACTATTTAAAAGTCAAGTCTGGTTATTGCAAACGATATCTGGCTACAAATCTATTCAAAATTCTTCCAACTCTTTGAAAAAAAAAGAATTTTATCTACCTATTCCCGGAATAAGAATTGAGCTCGAGCAGAAAATCTGCGGTAAGCACGAGAACGGTTTCATGAATACGAGCCCCCCGTGGTTGGTTCCAGTTACTTCATATCATTGTATCGCCAACCAACAACGATTCAGTGCAAATGCGTATTAAAACGTTTCAGGTTTCATGACGAAAATGAATAATCTGTTTCCTTGCGCGAAATGAATATTGCTGTCTTAAATTAGGATATTCACGTATTACCGGACATCACGTAATAACGGACCCTCTAGAATAAAATTAAATTGTGTACGGTTGTCTGATCTCTTCAGTTTATTCATGAATACAATAAACCGTTTTACAAACACCGATTACATTTGGGAACGCCCCGACGCTAATTTTAGAACAACGGCGATACTAATACCGAAATAACGGAAAGTTTTCGAAATTTTATTATCGCGTGATCCGAATGTTTGCTGCAGTGGCAATTTTAAGGTCACTGGTAGATTTGGGACTTGCGAATTCAGGAGCCACTAATGTAAGTTATGTTTGACATACGGATATGAAAATAGCTACACCATTTAAAAATATAATTGTCTATGCTTTAATATATAAACATTTATTGAAAATAACGGGGAAATGCATAATAAATGCAACAAGAGATCCCAGTGGGATCTTGGCGCCCTCCATTGTACCATCTTCATTAGTTCTTTGTCAATTCGGTCTTTTTTCTTCTTCTTTCCTCTAATCTGTTTGATCGAGTCATGTTAACAGTAAATGCTCCTTGAGGTAACTTTTGATCTAAACTTAATACTGATGTGTATGAAAGCCAACCTTCAAAGTGAGTTTGTCATTTCACATATTTACTGGTACAGTACTTAATGTGAAAGAAATAGAATCAATCATTGCAATATGAGAAAGATCTGTTTAGTTCTTCCTTTAGTCGTTTTGTTTTTATGATCAGTCTCAAATTATAACATGCACAATGAGGGATCAAGGGGAACCTACATATCAAATTTGAGAAAGATCCCTCAAGTTATTCCTGAGAAATAGCACTAACAATGTCAAAAATCATAGATGGCTGTCGGTAGGCCCTTTTGTTTAACTGATCAG